TGCCAAAAAAAATAATAATAATCAGAAAGCAAGAAAAGGCTACATACAGAAAGCCACCAGAAGTCCCACTTATTTATTACAATGTGCGATACCCACAGTGGAAGGTGAGACCCTAAATAGAAGACATCTTTTGGTCACTGCTATACCCCTAGAGCCTAGAGCAGTGCCCAGAAATGAGAAGGTGTCCGATAAAAATCCATTTTGAAAAATGGATGAATACAGAAACACAGGGAACTGTATGTAGTATAAGCTGTATAAACTGAAACACAATTCATTTTAAACAAGTTCAAGTAACACTGGAGAAAAACTATCATAACACACTGCAGGCATGTAAAACATAAGAGAACAATATTTGTAAAAATTAAACACTGCGTTTGTGAGATGGTGTTAAATAAAGGGATGACGTGTAATTTATGTGATAACAGCGCCACAGTGTTTTGCAACTAATTAGGTAGAGAATTTGTGTCTGTTTCTACATTGCCAAACTCCTTTCTAACAAATGTTTTTACATATCTCTTCATAGTTCTTTTTAACTTTTTACAACCTATTGGGCAAGGGTGGGGGGGAGGGGACATGACATTCCCTAAAGCATTTCTCCTACTCAGTAGAGAACTACTGCAAATTTCAGTTCCTACAATCTACTAATGAATGAAAGGCAAAGACAGAGATGAAAGAAAAAAATGAATCTTTGAACCAAGCAATTGGGAAAACAAAAAGTCCATGGTAATTCCATAGAGTTCAGACCTGTCAGTGAACTGTCCATAAGGAGATGCAGATTGGCATCCCCCTTGCTATCATACCATTTCTCTTAAAAAAGAAGGAATTTCAAAAACAAGCAAAGGCAATAATTATGATAGCCTGTTCTAACAGCTATTTTAACTTATTGATTATTGATTCAGTAGAAGGGACAGATTTAGAAAAAGGTGAAAGAATTACTGAAAAAATATTTGTAGGGATGCTTGACACAGAATCTTAAGGACACTTTCTTGGAAGTAGAGAAAAAGCTCTGGAAAAGATTAACAATAATCCACAAAATCAGAGTACACTTCCAGACAGAGTTGAAGGAATGTATGGGAAATAACAGTTTCAAACTGTTTTCCAAACATTGTCCCCTTTATGCTGAGTTTGCAAATGGAATTTAATGTTTGCACTAGATCATACTCTGGCAATAAAAGTCTACGTTAAGAAAAAGGAATTAAATGATACTGTAGAATTCAATTTAATTTAAAAATTGAGATCTTAGCGCACACACAAAAAAAAATACCAGTAGCTATAGTTCAGAACTATACACAATTAGTAACAGTTCTTCAATATTTCAAAACGTATTACCACTAATCACGATTATCTTAACTTTGCACTTAAATGTTGGCACATTTAAAAATGTTCAATGAGGAAAAAGATCACTTCCAAATGAAAGTTAATCACAAAAAGAGGTATGATAGTCCCAAGTTGCAGGATGATGCATTCAATGCTGCTGAAGGCTATTTTTACACATTTTCCAACTCCAAAAATATCTTGCTCTCTTTACCTAGATGCTTATCATTTTTTAAAGAAAAAAAAAATACCCTTAGAGCAGTGTTTCACTGTATGTAGTTTCTGATACATGTGGAGGCCTTATATAAATGTGGATTACAACATTCTATCCCCAGAAATTCTAAGTCCGCAGTCTGAAATGAGCCCAGATATCTGGAATTTTAACATGCAATTTACATAATGGCCTTAGGAATAGTAAGCCATCTCTCTTCTTTACATGACACCATTTAAACCTAAAGACATTAACTTAATTACCTGAGCCAATTAGTAGCAGAGAAAGAACGAAAACCCGGAACTGCTAGCTCCGTCCAATCGTCTTTGCTCTAAATGAATGTTGGAGTTTCCTTTTAAATAACTCTTCAATATATTTTACCTTTCCACCTTTATCCATTATTTGTTTACTCTCTCTGGAGTGACCTCCGAAGTAAATTTGTAAAACTATGCATCAACAGAGGCAAGAAGAATGAAAACAGTTCATATTTAGGGTAGTGTAGGTCAATTTTCCTTATTTTTTATTCTATTCACACTACAAATTATGTGGGCAATAAATTCACTATTTAAAAATTTTTAAAACTAAAAATAGTTTAGCTTTGATGCATGGAACTCAATTAGATCCAATGCAAATTTAGATACAGAAGTTCAAAGCTAACACCTCTTTTTTTATTTTTACTATAGAAGTATGATTGGTATGTTATATTAGCTTCCGATATAACACCTCTTACATTTTTATAAGTAAATTTTTTTCCATATTTAAAAAAAGCACAAAATTACCTAATGTGTTGTATATATAAAACTTTTAGAAGTAGCACTGAATGATTACCTTTTAGTGCTTTTCTTAAATGCAAGCTTAAAGCCCCCTGCATTCAGGAGAAAGACTCTCCATTTAGCACATCACCCAAGTTCTTCACACAATCTGCTCAACCATGTGAAAAACCAATAGGCAACTTTCCTCTAGAGAGAAAGGCATACACCAGGATGTAAACACAGATAAAACTGGAATGGTAAGTTAGGGCCTAAACATAGAAGGCCTTCCTTAATTTAACCAGCCAGTCTTGAGCCAACTAGTTTTTTAAGATTTGACTCAAGATCAAGTCCCTCAAGACCCAGCTCCATATAAAATGATACAAATTTTTAAAAATAACACATACACAAGCAATGGTATGTACTTTTTAAGGGTATATATAAAGGCATGTTAATGCATAGAAAAGGACCTGAAATATACATGCACTGAAAGTAGGTTTATGTCTCAAAAGATGAGGAGGGGTCCAGCATTAATGCTTTAATTTTTAAGAAGAATGTATCCATTACTTGTGTATGTGGAAGTGTTTCTAATCTCCAGACTTCATTAGTTGCCCTTTTTTGCACTTCTCTACAACTCCTGCATAAGCCTAATAAAGCACTGGGTTCATCATCCATCACAAACAATGGTCTTGTCAGACTTTTCTTCCTGGAAGACAGGACTTGAGTCCTAAGCAAGCGCACCACTTGCAGAATGCCTCACCTGGTAGAATGTGTATTACTTAATACACACTTACACTCCGAACCTCCTAAGCAGCTAAGTTATTCAAGGAAAGAAGCTTAGGCTATTTCTAAAAGGTCACAGGCCAGAAATTTTCAACATACACTTTAAAAAGAAAGTTTGGTGTAGTTGCTAAGATGCTACACTTAGAGTCATAAAGTTCTGGTTTTGTTATGCATGACTATCTACAATCCTTATGCAATCTTCATTTTCCTCATCTATAAAACATGGAGGAGAAGATCTTCCTCCTATATTTGTGGGCAAGATTAAAAGGAAATGTTTATAAATTAATTAGCACAATACCTGGTACTCACCAGATGACAGTCATTCTTATGCTTTTTATGTTCAATTGCTAATATTAAAGCAATAATTTCATACAATTTCTAATCAGAGAATGTTAATAAAACTTTAAAAAAACATCTACTTTGGGAGAATAACATCAACTCAGACAATCTAGCTAATGGAAGCGATGAAACTAATAATGTGAAGTCCATCAAATCCATGCAAGTAAAAAATGAATACCTCAATTAATCTGGCAGAGTAACTTACATACCAATAAATGCAAATTACGCATTTTTACATTCCATTCCAATGAGAAAAGTTTTAATCATCTCACTTCAGACTGAAAATGTTCACATTCAGTTCATACACATTATAAGCTGTACATCACTATTCTTCTTGAGGAATATGTTAACTATCCAAGTTATTAATATGCCAACAGTGCTCAATGATGCCTTCCACAGTTAATTGGCTAAGAAATCTTATCCAAAAAATATAATGAATAAGATCACACTGAAGTTCAGAAGATGTTTTAAAGATCTATAGTTAATATTTTTTGAAACTAATGTTTGTTTTGAGTTGACATCTGTATTTGTTATGAAAAGTCAGCATTTATATCCCAGCCTATCATAATTCATTATGATATGTCATTAATGAGTTCATCTTAGATCAGATATCCAAAGCACACCATGCAATTCCATAAATTACTAAGCATCTAATATACTCTAGGCTAAAAGATTAAGAATTCATTCCCAAAAAGGGGCATTTTCTTATACATATTGAAAACCAGATATGTTAGGGGCACCTGGGTGGCTCAGTCAACTCAGGTCATGATATCAGGGTCCTGGGATCGAGCCCCACATCTAGCTCCCTGCTCAGTGGGGAGTCTGCTTCTTCCTCTCCCTCTGCCCCTCTCTCTGCTTGTGTGTGTGCATGCATGCACATGCTTTCTCTCAAATAAATAAAATCTTTAAAAAATATATAAAATAAAAATCAGATATGTTAGAGAAAGGGAAGTCGACAGAATCAAATAAAGTTAACAGAATTTGTTAGAACTTTAATACCAGTCTCCTCAAAACACTGAACTTCTCTACTAAGTCTTTCTAATATTAACCAAATTCAATAAGTCAACAACTCAAGTCCACTTCATTTATATGTGGTGTATGTGTATGTATGTGCATATATGAACCACTTGCCTATAGTGAATTATTTCCTCTGCAAGCAACATATCTACTTAAAAAAAAAATGCTGGAAACTCAAGAAAACATGTTACCCGTGCCTACTCTTATTTTCTATTACAAAAGAAACACAACAGGTGCAGAACTGTGCCTATTTCATCAACAGCTGTAATGGTTAACTGGTTCTTGATTGTTACCTCATATAGCGTTGTAACACCACTTCAGCTAAAGAATACCCTTCAAAAATTATTTTTTCAAGATTTTATTTTCCCAATCCCTTAAAAGGTGATGTCTAGCTTCAAATTTGATGTAGATTACTTTCCTGTCACCGAGGAACGGAGAAAATTCAACAACTCTTTCTTTGTTACATTTGGTGCAGTACTCAAGGCAAAAGCAAGGCACTATAAGTAAAAACACTAATAAGTCTAAAAAAGCACAGTTGTTAATGTAATCAAGGCACCGCAATTTGCAATTACTATAACAGAGCTCACCTGTTCATTTTTGCAAAGCCACACGCTGCTTCCACTTAACACAGTAAAAATTTTGGCTTTATACCCTCTCAGTTCAAGATAGCCACATTTCTCAGGTGCAGCAGCTGCTTGAGACTGCAAGGCAGGGGACTGTGATTTCAGTGCATTTAACAGTATGCTGATCCAGTCATTTCTCTCCTCTGAAAATGAAGACAGGAGAAAATACATACATCCATACTCATATAAATTATACAGCCACAGAAACATGGGCAAAGGATCTATTTTCCCTATAACACATAATTTACAGATTCTTTCCCACAACCACAATCTAAATGCTACTGCAGTCAGAGCCAATGGCCCAATTCTGTAAGAGAAGAGAAATAACACTACCCAGGTGTTCTGTAATCAATACTACTGGCCCCACCTGGGAGCTTATTAGAATGCAAAATCTCAGGCCCCACTCAGGACCTGATGAATCAAAATCTTCAGTTTAAGAAGATCCCCAGGTGATCTGAATCCATGTTAATATTTAAGAAGCACTCATATATTATTCATGACATTGGATTTTCTCTTTTAATAGAAGTAATACCGACACGAGTTAACAGATTTTATCTGGCAATTAAGTTGCTCAAAGGCCCAGAAAATCTTACTTCTGTTACTTAGAGCCTACTCTACTTAAGAGTATGCTGACTTGGTATTCATTCATCCATTCCATTCTCACTACAGTAACAATAGCATCTCATTTGGTAAATTAAAATTTGGTTTTCTCCCTCCACAAAAGCTAAGTGACCTTCAACTATGTATAACACACTGTGTTATGGCCACAGGACTCTGATCTAGTCCCCAAAGAGCAATCAAAGTTGTAAGTCAAGTTATACATGAACATAGAATACTATAAATGTCATACAAATGATATCAAATAAAATATGAGCCAATTCAATGGAAATAAGTCATTTGCTGAAGGTCCTACAGCAAGTTAGTCTTAAAATTAGGAGAATCCAATGTTTTAACTCAGACAACTGTTCTCAGCACTGTGAAAAAAAAAAAGTATTTACGTTAGGTCTTGGAATGAGGAGCATTTGAAAAGACAAAACTGGAGTCTGGTGAGGGAAGAGCAGAACTTTAGGACTCTGAGCAGAGAAGAACACAAGAGCAAAGGCAGAAAGAACCAACATCTGCTCAGACTAACTTATAGATAAGCATATTGATAATTTTGAACTCAAGAGGAAATAGGAAATATGGATAGAGCTTCTGCAGTACCTGTATCGAACATTGCCTCCAAACTTTTTTACAGAGGGGGGGAAAAAAAAAGTCAAGAATCTTAGCAAGGAAATGACATGATCAGTATGATAATAGGTAGACCAAACTGGAAGCCTGGGGAGGGTCAGAACTAAGGCAAGAGAGGCATGAAGTACAATGAAAACGGAAACAGAAGCGTATCTGAAGAGTTAAGACCTTAAGTAACGGAAAAAATAGCTGAAGTTTTAAATATGTTTGACAGGTATTCACAAAAAAAATATAAATTATCAGAATAAAAGTTAGCTTAGTACAATGACTTGAGCAAAGAAGGTGGAAGATTCCATTTTATTAACAGAACCACCTCAGGTTTTCAGTGCCCTAGCAGGAGCATCTAGGTGGACAGCAATGCGTGAATGAAGGTCACCTACACAAAAGAAGATTCATGGAAGTAGATAAATGTTTAATGTGAAAGAAGAAATAGGACAAATCCTGAGGTACAACTCTATCTATGAGGCAAGAAAATGGGCTAGCAAAAAACAAAGAAGTGATTATCAAGGCAAAAGGAACAAAACAAAACAGCCTGAATTCCAGGTAGGAAAAATTATCAAGAAGGAAGAAGGAGGAAAGAATAAGCAGAGCCCAAGCTTGGAAAATTGGGTAGTATCTCAGATCTAAGGTGTGGAAAGAATTACTCCATTATGGATTCAAGATCTCTAGATCTTGGTCTAGGTCTCCAGATTAGACTTGCTCCCATTCAAACATGAACCCGAAGTTATTTTATAATGAGCCATAATTTTTAAATTATCTTTATTTTTTCATCTTCCAAACTACTAAAAACAGTTTTGTCTTTAATGACCAAGGCCAAGTATTTATTAAAACTCATTCAACAATGCTTTACTACAGGTATTACATAGTCCCCAGGTCATAGTTCCCATGGATCAGGAAGAAATATTTACCCAACTTCCCCAGCATCATTAGAAACTAAAACACATGGGGGCGCCTGGGTGGCTCAGTTGGTTAAGCGACTGCCTTCGGCTCGGGTCATGATCCCAGGGTCCTGGGATCGAGCCCCGCATCGGGCTCCCTGCTTGGCGGGAAGCCTGCTTCTCCCTCTCCCACTCCCCCGCTTGTGTTCCCTCACTCTCTGTCTCTCTCTGTGTCAATTAAAAATAAATAAAATCTTTAAAAAAAAAAAAAACTAAAACACATGAAAATGTCTACATTTTGTATCTACACGAACAGATCCAGACTGCACTAGGATAATTCATATTTTCAGGAACAGTAACAAACCTTCCGTTGGTTATTACTTGTGATCATTAGTTTCACACAAGATACTCCTGCCAAGTAAACAACACATTGTTTTTTGTTGGTTTTTATTAATCTACATAAATCATTTAGTTTGAAATGTAGGTCATATTTTTACTGAAAAGAAACCCAACTTAGTTTTTTTTTAATTTTCTTTCAATTTTTATTGAAATATAATCAACATACAGTGTTCTATCAGTTCCAGGTGTACAATATGCTTCAAAACTTCCATACGTTACTCAGCGCTCATCAAGGTAAGTGTACTTTTAATCCCCTTTACCTATTTCACCCATCCCCTCCCCCATCTCCCTTCTGGCAACCACCAGTTAGTTCTCTGTATTTAAGAGCCTGTTTTTCTGTCTTTTCTTTCTTTTTTCATTTTGTTTTGTCTCTTCAATTCCACGAGTGAAATCACATGGTATTTGTCTTTCTCTGATTTGTTTCACTTTGTAGGTCATAACTTTATAAACTAGGCTAAAGTGTTTGTGGCTTCTACCTTGCTCTTAGCATATATCTCAGTTTCTCAGGAAAATAATTTGAAACTGGCAATTGCATCTGTTGGACTTAAACATATGATGGCTGCATCTCAACAAATGGTTCTCTTATAGCCTAGAAGTATTATCTAGCTGCTGAGGGCCTTATTTACTAATAGGAAGTAAACAGTCATGAATAAGTACGAGAATTAATAGTAACATTCAGTTTATTCTTAATTACCCATGCCAATGGAGATAAACAGTGATACAGATCATTCAAACACAATAAAATAGATTACAAGCATCACTGGTATTTGGCTATGCAACATGTGTGTCCTTAGACATGGGGAATATGCTTTGATATGTCACAATATTCCAAATCAAATACTGATCTTCCCTTGGGCTAAGTGTCTTGGACAAAGCTTAGTTACTATGCTAGCTTCTGCCTGCTCTTCACACCAAGGTGCTTTTATTCTTTCCAATAACAAACATTTACTGTCTATATTGATCTTAGCACTGTTCTAAGCACTATTCCTTAGAGAACTGCCCTGACCTAGATATAGCTTTGCTCAAAGTAGAGCATTCCAGGTTGGAAAAAGGGAAAAAAAAGGGGGGGGGGAGTAGAGAAAACAAAATCACCACTTTCTTATAATTATGCTAGAATATAATAAAAGATAATAGCAATGCCCTCAAACCAGTTCTTGAGGTTTTCAGGAATGAACTCCAACTACTGTAAGAATCAAAAAAGTAAAAAAAACAAACAAAAACCAAAAAGAGACAATATTCTCTGACCACTAGATTTAGCAGTAGGCATATTCATTAGTAACATAAAGGACTGATTATTCTAGGGATTAACTACATAAGGGCTGTGTAAAAGATTAGTAACAGAATTTAACAAAGTCTAGATGGACCTTTACTTTTGATACACTAATATAATTGAACTAAAGATTCCTCAACGTAACCCATGATCAATTTCAGAGAAAGAAGTATCTGCACACCATGACTGTTCGTGAAATCAATAGCCATTCATTTGTACAAATATTAACTGAGCACCTACTGGTTTTCAAGACCTATTCTGAATACCAGGAATGGAAGCATGAACAAGACAGACCACAGCCTTAATCTCCTGGAGTTTGCCCTCTTGTGAAAGGAGGAAGGCAATAAAACATATATATATAATGTATTACACAGTCACAAGTGCAATGGGACAAAATAAAGCAAGGGATGAGGGACACAAGAAGTGCTACCTTATACTTAGTACTAGAAAAAGCCTCAGAAAGAAGGCAATGGTTAAGCAAAAGCCTAAAGGAAATGGAAGTGACAGGGCAAGTCAGGAGGATGGCCGCAAGAAGAGCACTCTCAGATGAAGAAAGCAAGCGTCAATGCCCTGGGGTTGACATGGGGGTTTGACATGTTCAAGGAACAAGAGGAGAGCTGAAATGTAGTGAGTGAGGGAGAGCACGGGAGGAGACAAGGACAAAGAGACCAGAGCCAGATCACATAGCGGCTCTTGGACATAAGTATTTTACTCTCAGGGAGATGGAAAGACAACACAGCATCTGAAGTGGACTGACATGATCAGACTTCCTTGATGCATGATCGCTGACAGCTGTAGAGAAAACAGGACTATAAGTCGATCAAAGGCAGTTATTACAATAACCCAGAGAGAGGTGGTGGCTTGCATTAGACTAGTAATGACAGCGGTGTTGAGAATCGATCAGAATCCAGATATATTTCCAAAGTCAAAAATGATCAGATGTGCTGATGGGCTGGATGTGCGATATGAGAGGAAAAAGATTCAAGAATGACTCTACAGTTTGTGACCCATTACGATAGTCGACCAACTTATACAACGGAGAACTTTTAATTCCCCTGGCTTTCCCTCCACCTAGTAAATGTTCCATTCACAATGTTCTAAAAACATTAAATATTTTGGGCACCTGGGTGGCTCAGTGGGTTAAGCGTCCAACTCCTGATTTTGGTTTGGGTCTCAGGGTCGTGAGACTGAGCCCTGTGTCAGGCTCCATGCTCAGCGCAGAGTCTGCTTAAGATTCTCTCTCTCTCCCTCTGCCCCCCTCCCCACTGTGCTTTCTCCTTTAAAACAAAAAACCAACATTGACTATTTCAAGACAGGCAAGTCTGCTTGCCCACAATAACTAAGGGAAATTTATGTTTCTTACCAAGTGCTCTTTAAACCAAACAAACAAGCTTAGCAGTACCATCGCTGCCACTGGAGGGCTGCAAGATGCCGTCTGGAAACAGAGTTGAGTGGAAAAACACCTGCCTGCCTCCAAGGGATCCAGGAACAGCTGAGACAGACAGGAACATGACACTGCAGCTGAAACCCAGCACTGAAACTGGCCCAGGAACACGAATGACCACTCAGAATTCTTAAGCCCTTTCCTCACTATAAGAACTGCCAACTCACAACATCACCTGCTTTTTGAAGTCATGCATCCGCGTGTGTGACCACAGCTGCCAGGGGAATACAGACTGGAGAGATCATTAGCTGTTATGAGCCTATGATCAACTCCAGTGGTTCTGCTTCAGGACAAAGGAATCCCACTAAATTTTTTATTTGAGGAAAAGTATTTTTAAAATGTTATTATTTCAACATAATTCACTTTCAACTAAGAGCATAACAATACTTCACTAGGAAACCTGGGGGAATTGAAGCCTTTGAAAATTTGTGGGAAAAAGATGTCAAATTACAATCCTGTCTTAGCAATGCCAATGGGCAAGGCAGCAGTTTGGGAACAGGGACCCTGGCTTCAGAGGAGACAAAGGATAGGCCATTCAGAACCTTCTCACCAAAAATGGAGAATTCATTTCTGGTAGGATGTCAAGCCATTTCCCCTTTGTGTTCTAAACTTTTGTCTTGCTTCTTGGTCAGACTGAAGTAAAGTTTCTTTTGGCTTAAAAGTTAAGTCAAATATTTCATAAGCCACTATGATTGATTTCTTAGTTCCCCCCAAGTAAAAAACAATCAACCATCTGTATACATGGGAGAAGGAAAAAACAATAAAACATACTTAGTATCTTGTTGAAGGTGCCATACTAAATATATAGACACATGTATACTATTTATACACACACACATCTCTACATTTACCTATCTTTAAAAACGTTAGTTATGACATTAAAATGACTTTTTTTTTAAAGATCTTACTTATTCATGAGAGAGAGAAGGGGGTGCAGAGGGAGAGGGAGAAGCAGGCTTCCTGCTGAGCAGGGAGCCCGATGCAGGGCTCAATCCCCAGGACCCTGGGATCACCACCTGAGCTGAAGGCAGACGCTTAACCAACTGAGCCACCCAGGTGCCCTAAAAATGACTTTTAATGAAACCACATCACTCAGTAATTCCACGTGGATAGTCTCAGTTTTTACTGAAGCATGTTTTAAAACTTAAAGACCTAAGACTTATTTCATAAAAAATAACTTATACCAAAGTTTTAATGAAATTCTTATGCTGTTTCTATCATAATTATGTGATACATGAACTATGAACTATATATGAACTATGTATCACAGCATGTAACTTTTAAACATGTGGGTTGATATATTCTACTTAAATGTCTGTTTAACTTTTAACTACAGTAAGTAAATATGGCTAAACAGATTTTCACACAGGTGGGAAGTTTTATTTAGTGTGTCTATCTTAAAATGCAAGCTATGCGGCATATGTGAAATTCATTTTGAGAAGCCAAGGGGAAAGTGATAAGCACCTCAAAGAAACAGGCAGTCACCTTCTAGGCAGAGGAAATCAAAGCATAAGGAAAGATCGTCACGATATCCAGTCCAAAGGAGACTATCTTGGGCCTTCCTGGTCACACTCAATGCTGCCACTGAGGCACAAAAACAGCCACGGACAATATGTAAATGAATGATGGTGACTGTGATGGAACAAGACTTTGTTTACAAAAATAAGCAGTGACCAGATTTAGGCGACGGGCCATGGTTTGCCAACCCCGACTCGAGGCTATAGATCTCAACGATTTTTTAAATAGCAACTTAAGTAAGAAGCACTGTTTCCCCTACATATGTGCAATATTTACACAGGTATGTCTCACAATACTTACTAGAAGCAATGCACTTTAATATTTCTTATTCTATTTCATGTTTGTTTTTTTCTGTTTTGGGGGGATTTGTTTTAGTACCATCAGAAACCACTAAGTTGATTTCACAAATGCATAGTGATGCACAGTTTGAAAAAAGCTGCCCCAGTGTGGACAGCAGCTAGAACTTACGCATTTACTGATTATGCCAAGGAACAATGAAAGCTTTCTAGGAATAGGTAGGATTTATTGAATGTTTTCTATGTGCCTTGCACTGGTATATGTTCTAAGAATCTATCAGTATAAAAAAGACAAATATTGCCCCATAAGATCTAATATTGTTGTAGTTTATAAAAGGGTAAAATGGGCTCTGTGTAAAATGGGATTTTTCTTTTTATAAAATGGGATAACTGTAACACTTACATGCCTCATAAGACTATCGTGAATAATGAAGCACAGATCACTGCATATATCAAGAATTTAGTAAGTTCTCTAAATCACCATTACTCAAATAATTAAGTACCAAGAAGCATTTTCAAAACTGAGTTATAATCTATACTAAAATAAAAGCTTTAAAAAAGAAGTTAAAATTATAATTCTTTAATTAATGAGGATGGCCTTACCTATATTATTTAAAAGTAGTGAGGAATATAGTAATAACGTGTTGATAGTCAAAGTATGCAACAGAAAACTCTTAGCTCCCCTGGATCTCCCTCCTTACCACCCCTCAAAAGTCAGAAAAGATCTAAGGATTTAGGGGCACCTGGGTGGCTCAGTCGGTTAAATGGCTGCCTTTGGCTCAGGTCATGATCCTGAGGTCCTGGGATCGAGCCCCACGTTCAGCAACCTCCTCCACGGGGAGGCTGCTTCTCACTCTCCCTCTGTCTGCCACTCTGCCTACTTGTGCTGTCAAATAAATAAATAAAATCTTTTTAAAAAAAAAGATCTAAAGATTTAGTCTCTATCCATAAACCGCATGCCATCTAATTTTCACCATCAAGTGACCTATAGCAGAGGAAGAAGGTAAAAAGAATTGAAAAAGTATAAAAGATGCTCCAAAATCTGTACTAGAATGATTACTGAGCCTATGTCTTCAGTTGAACCTGGCATAAGTTAACTTCCCTAGAACCAACCTTTTAATAGTGAGAAAAATTGTTTTTGCATATTAAATAACTACTTTGCATTATCAAACAACAGCTAAAAGGTGGACTCCAAAGGAGCAGAGATTTTTTTTTTTTTCACTGCTATATATCCAGAATTTAGAAGAATTCTTGGCACTTAGTAGATTCTAAGTATTTGCTGCAGGCAAGAATAATGAACAAATGGCAAATGACTTGCCAACTTGTTTATGGCATTCAAAATAATATAAAATGTAAATTACTTAAAAGTAACATATTTTAAGATCTCTTGACGTCTGTAGCTTCACTAGTTTATCAGTCTTCTGATTGGTCAGAAAGTAACGTCAATGAGTGTTTTTACAGGGATAAAGAAATAATCTTACCTTCTTTTTCTACTCTAAAAACAAAAGTTCTTTGTGTTGTAACAACTTCAAATTTGTTGTCTCCTTGAACCCGTACCGTAGATATAGCAGAAAGGGGAATTATTCCTTTTGAATACTTTTCCTGTATTGATTAGAGAAAAAGATACACAAACAAGACAGATTAAAATGAAATTCCTGTGACCTTATCAGAAAAAGGATGGTACAATATTTATAAATATTTACAAGCATATTGTGTTTCTTTCATAATTTTAATCTAAATTTTTAAAATGACATACAAATAGTATATATCCTCAGACACACTTAACACCCCAGAAAGGAAAATATTAAATGGTCCTTTCACGTGAGATGTCTTTTCAATTTTCTCCTCTTCTGGAATTTAAAATTAAAAGGCAAAGAATCAAATACAAACAATTGCACTAGACCAGCGATACAGAGTTCCCAAAACCACCTGTATGTTTTTTAAAACAATCTGGTCAAAATGATTTTATGGTGTTTGCAGGCATCTGCTGGCCATGATGGGTACTGTAACTAAACTACTTTAAAACTACTGCTACTGCATATTGTGAACAAGAATATCTATCAAAACCAGACTGTTGCATTATATCAATTAAACATATTACCCAGTGATTCTAATAATTATCTTAATATCACAACTGCCTCACTCTACCTTTAATTCCCCAACAAAAAATGAATGAAAAAGACAAAAGAAAAAGATGGATTTGTCTGTTTGCAACTGGCATATACCTAATACAATTTTGGCTGTTCGCAACTGGCACATACATTTTACCATTTTGCTCAAGAAGGCCATTCTGAAGACTCTTGGTAGCTTTCTCGGTCTTTGTTTTTCTGGATCCACCAAAACCATTTGGCATAAGGACCACCTGACAATTTCAGCTATTTACTAAGGGTGAAATATTTACTGGGCCTTGTGTTGGAAAGAAAATTTAAATAGTATTTACACATTCAAGGAGCCTCAAAATGAAAAACAAGCTAATGTAATGACAGAAAAGTTTAAAACGTAGTCCGAACCATGGAACGTATGAGTACAAAGATGGGAACTCCCAACTTCTGCTTAAAAGAGGTCAGATGTTTTCACAGACATAATGATATTAGAGCCTGACCTGAAGAAAGCTTGAGTTTAACCACACAGATAACTGGTTGGGAGGCCATCCTGGCTGGAAACTTTAATAATAATAAAGGCAAAGTAGAGAAATAAGAGCATCCACAGTGTAGAGTCCAAAGAGGTAAAACTGGAAACACATATCAAGGACACATCATGGAAGGTCTTAGATATCAGAAGAGTCTGAATACCTCTTTACAGGGTTTCTTCTACTATTTCCTTCCACAGAATGATTCACGGAACTCTCATTTTTTAGCAGATCCCAAGTATCTGAAGCAACTGGTTTAAATGTATTAAACCATTCCATGCAGAGAACAAACGTCAAGGTCATATTCCTCCTAGTGGTAAACTCCTGCCATGCATATCAGATAGGTAAGGGACAGTCACGGTCAGCAGCCCAGTGTTCTACTGGGAGGTTATCCTCTGCCCGTTGAGAAGATATACTATGCTATCATGGCATTCCCTCTTAGTTCTTTGACAGTTTCTTCTCTTCCAATGCCTCTGCTCCAATCTCCTATCCCTGACTATATGTATGCATCAAAATCCTATGCATTCTTCGACACCATTTTAACTACCAACACCACAAAGGCTTTCCCACATCCCCTCACACAGCCAACACTGAACACGGTTTTTGAACTGTAACTGAAGAAGATGAGTGGGCAAACTCACAGAAAAACAAGGACGTCAAGAAGTAAGTAATTTCAAGGTAACTTTTCTTCTCCTTGTTTTCCATTTTTTTTGTTTTATCTTCTCTAAGAAAATCCATTCTTGCTATTTCAACTGCCAGCTTTATGAGGAAAATTCTAAAATCTGTCCCTTCCTTATCCATTTTGGTCAACTCCAACCTCATATTTCAAGTAGCATGTAACTGCAATGGTGCATATAACTGTCCCATAAGCACCTCAAACTTTAAATTATCTCCTGAAAACATAACCTCCCCCCCTTTATATCTGTTCATTAAAATACTGCTCTTCTAGTCAGTCTTAAGTAGTCATTCATTTGTGTGGCTCATTTGCACCCACATAACTTGGGACTCTCCCTACAGTGACTGTGTCAACTTCCTCCCTGGCACTCTCTGATTCTCTCCAGTCACATGAGCCTTCTTTGAGGTTCCATGAACATACCATGTTTCTCCCCAATCTAGTGCCTTTGCTTACTCTGTTATTCAAGGAATGTTGTCCACATCCAGCTTCACATGGTTCCTGCCTCTCCATCCTTCACATTTCAGCATAAGTATATGCTCCAGAAGAAAGGTTTTCTGACCAGCCTCTTCTCATAGGCCCCCCATCCTCACCTAGGCAGATGACCCTAATTTAAGCTAATAACAACCTGCATTTTTCCTTTATAGCAATTACTAACTATAACTTAAACAGTGATTTTTATATTTACTGTGTGATCATTTGATTAAGACGGTCTCCCCAAATAGACGGTGGGTCATACATCTGTTTTCCTCAGACCTTACACATAATCGGCATTGCAGAAACATTTTCTCAATTAATGAATTCTATGTCCAATCAATCACAATCAAATCAAGCTCTGACAGCTCATTTTTGGTATTTTTTCTAAATTCATTTTTTAATACCTCCACTTGCCTACACAGCCTACACCCAGATAATTACTGCCCGATTTACTGCACACTCCCTTGATTTGCCGCCCTACTTTCAGCTTCTCTTCCTTCTAACCTTTCTTGCATATGACTGTTCAAATGTCATAGTTGGAAAAAAATAAAGAAAAGGTTCATAGAGGGGGATTAAAAAAATGGATCTTGAAGTTTGCACAGAATTTTGATGGATGGCAATGGCTCAGAAGGTTCAGATGGAAGAGCAAAAACATGGAGATGAAAATACAGGAAAAAGACATGTTCGCATTCCCCACAGTGTGTACCCAGATACCGCTGAAAAAAGTCATGCAAAGAAATACATGACTGACTGGCTTAAAGGAAACCCAATAAATGCAGCGGGGTATGATGGCAATGCTAGGCACTAGTAGACCGCTAATTGCTCCAGGAATGAGACAAGTGGGAAAATGTCTCCCTAGTGTCAGGCAACCTCAGACATGGGAAGGAGCATAGCACCTTTGGGGACAGCGCAAGGACCTCTGGCTGTAAGTCTATAGTGGCTGAGATAAACTGAAAAATCTAGAATGTCCACATTTACACTTCTCTTAGATGATCCATTCTCAAATCTTAATTTGCTTAAGAATTACAAGAGCTTATAAAACTAGATCTCTAGTGAGATAATTAACCATTTGTGGAACAAAAATGTTACCATTAACACATTTTTCAGTATAGAAAAAGCAAGCAGCGCTGTAGGAAAAGAAATCAGAATTTTAAATAGGAAATTTTCCCACCTCTAGATCTGCTTAAAGAGATTAAAACAATTCCTTACAAAAAAGCAACCCACCCACATGCCTATAATAATAATATCCTATTTAACAGGTAAATACTCCAAAATAGAAAAATAAATAAATTCCCCCAGGAGTGATCAAAATGTACTTAACAAGCTAACTATCATGTCACTTTAACCTCAGGAAGTTATAGTTTCTTTAATGGCTCATTTGTAATCTATTATGAGGTCCCAAGAAATCTCGTAATTCTTAACACTGTAGAGTTGACTTTATATTTCTCTTCAAACAACACACAATAAAGACAAGATAGAGAAAAAAAAAAGACAGGCTCAGAATGATTGTGTTTTTTAGAGTGTAAAATTTTCCTTAAGGACAGAAATTTTAAAGCATCCCTTGAGCCTGTAACACACAGATATCTAGGTCAAGTTTGTCATTTATCTACTACCACTTTCAGACAATGAAATGACCACAGGGCAATTCTGCCCACAGCCGAGTGAGAATGGGGGTGAGTGAGATTTCTTGGCAGGTGACAAGATATCAAGGCTGGTGGGATGATGCCATTTTCAGTAATACAGTGAAAAAGTTCTTGCAGAGACGTGATAGAGCAGCACTGAGGAAAGTGAGGGAAAACTAGGGAAACACAGAGCTCTGCCCAGCCACACACTCCTCAGATGCACCTTTAAACACTGAAAGGTGCGAGGACTCAGCGCACATGACAGATGACACTGTCGCTAGGGCCACACCCAGGCCTTCCGCACACTGGCCCTGAAATGCCCTCTTCCCAGCCCTCCAATCTATCCTTGAGCAAGGTGGGTCACAACAGAAACTGTGTCTCCTTTTAGGAAACACCCAACCCAACATTTTTATTTTTTTGCCAAGATGAAACCAACCATCTGGATAGTAAAGGGACGAAATGCCACAAAAACAGTAATTCAAATTTTAAAAACATTGTTAAGCAAAAGAATTTGTAACCATTCATTTTAACATGAACTTTGTATCACAATTTCAAACCAAGGTTGTGGCATTTTTGTTGCATCAATGCCGAACAACGTGGCAGGCACTCATCTCACTGCTGGACGCGGATACCAGAAATTCTCTCTCCCACATGGGGATAATACCACCACCAACAGAGCCTCATGGCACGGAAGTCTTACTCTTGAATAGTATTCCCCCTCATTTCAATCAAACCAGAGAAGGGCACAGCTGCTAAAAAACAACTAGGGGTCAGATTCCAGCAGATACAGAGACCACATTGTACCCACCGCTGGAATGGAAACTGTCTCAACATGCAAATGCACAAGCAAACTAAAAACAGTAGCAAAGGCAGAAAATCAGCTTTTAAAAAATACTCATCCCACCATCTTGCAAACCTCGAAGAGGTGTGTTTAAACTTATTTAATGCTTTATCTGGATGACTACAAGGTGAAACCAAGTAATACTTCTCCAAACTTTCTAATGTTCTTAGTATTGGAGCATGTGCCCTGTAGCACTGAAGAATCAATATATGAAAGGAAGTTTCTATTCAAGCCACAAATGTCACAATAGGAAGAAATATTCTCCAAATAATGAGAAAATAATGTTAGAGTATAAGCTATACATAAGAAAATGTGCTTAAATGTTAAATGAATCTAGCAAGAGAATGTTTATATTTCAGACTATAAGATTACCTGATTTTAATTAACTAAAAATACTATGTATTTATTAGTTCCAACTTTTCATTAAGGAAAATTGTCAAACACAGAGAAGTAGAATGATTATCGCAACCAACATCGATATATCCTCCAACCAGATTTGACAACTGTTAACATCTTCAGTTATCTTACCTAACTATGTGTGTGCGTAAATATATTTATAAATATAAATATATAGATAAGTAACATCTGAAAAACATCGGCAGATAGGACACTTCAAATATTCCAGCCTACGTCTCCTAAGAATAAAGACATTCTCATACCTAATGAAGACATGATCAAAACAGTATCATGTTGTTAAGATTCACTCGCCTAAAGACAAAATTGTGACCACTTTCTCATCAAGATGTTCAATGAGCTCTAGCTCCAAAGAACTTCTCAGTTTCATCTCTTCCAAGTCTCCTTCATTTTTTTTAAATTTTATTTTGTTATGTTAATCACCATACATTGCATCATTAGTTTTTGATGTAGTGTTCCATGATTCATTGTTTGTGTATAACACCCAGTGCTCCATTCAATATGTGCTGTCTTTAATACCCAACACCAGGCTAACCCATCCCCCAGCCCCCTCCCCTCTAGAACCCTCAGTTTGTTTCTCAGAGTCCATAGTCTCTCATGGTTCCTCTCCCCCTCTGATTTCCCCCCCCTTCTTTTTTCCCTTCCTACTATCTTTTGTTTTTTTTTTCTTAAACATATAATGTATTATTTGATTCAGAGGTACAGGTCTGTGATTCAACAGTCTTACACAACTCACAGTTCTCACCATAGCACATACCCTCCCTAACGTCTCTCACCCAGCCACCCCATCCCTTCCAACCCCCACCACTCCAGCAACCCTCAGTTTGTTTCCTGAGATTAAGAATTCCTCATATCAGTGAGATCATACAATACATGTCTTTCTCTGATTGACTTATTTCACTTAGCATAATACCCTCTAGTTCCATCCACGTCGTTGCAAATGGCAAGATTTCTTTTTTTGATGGCTGCATAATATTCCATTGTATATATATACCACAGCTTCTTTATCCATTAATCTATTGATGGACATCTTTGCTGTTTCCATAGTTTGGCTATTGTGGACATTGCTGCTATAAACATTGGGGTGCATGTACCCCTTCGGATCATTACATTTGTATCTTTGGGGTAAATATCCAGTAGTGTAATTGCTGGGTCGTACGGTAGTTCTATTTTCAACTTTTTGAGGAACCTCCATCCTGTTTTCCACAGCGGCTGCACCAGCTTGCCTTCCCACCAACAGTGTAGGAGGGTTCCCCTTTCTCCGCATCCCCGCCAACATCTGTCGTTTCCTGACTTGTTAATTTTAGCCATTCTGACTGGTGTGAGGTGGTATCTCCTTGAGCTTTTGATTTGGATTTCCCTAATGCCGAGCAATGTTGAGCACTTTTTCATGTGTCTGTTGGCCATTTGGATGTCTTCTTTGGAAAAATGCCTGTTCATGTCTTCTGCCCATTTCTTGATTGGATTATCCTTCATATATTCTATTTTCCAATCAGAAAACTGACTTCGCATCTGGACATCTCATGGTTCTCTATGTTACCACATCCTAGTCTCTCTAGTCCCTATGTGCAAACATTCCTCTTTTTCAAGACCATGGCAAATGAAATATCATGCAAGAAGCCTTCTTTGGTTCTTCCATACCCTTTCAGAGTACAAAGTAACCTCTCCTTGTGTTGCCTACCTGTAGTATCCTTTTGTAAACATTCCTTAGTGCTTTCTAAGAGAAAGATAATTTTTTATTCATCCTTACATCATTCACAACAATTCCTGTTGCTTGTAGAAGACACTCCATAAATAATTGTTGGATGTGTAATTTTTTTAAATCCAAATTTTATGTGTAAAGAAAAGTTAAACTATGAACAGAGTGTTTCACCATATGCAAACTCTTTTCATGTTGGTAATCCAACTTCTGTTCTTAAAAACCAAATTGCTTGCTTAGTACTGAAGTGTACCTTGGATATGCAAGAAAATCTTTGAGAACTATAAAATGTTCTTACCTTCTCGTTATTGTAATAAGAAATGCTAAGGCCATCAAATTTCACCCATCTCTTCTGAAACATGCGTTTTCTGTAAAACATATGAAACTGTTATTTTATATTCAAGTATCATGAACTTGGATTTTAAATACGTTTGTAGTGTAACTGTTGAGTACATTCCTATTTGTTGTTAAACAGTGTAAAAAAACATTAGGCTATGACAGTGTACGTTTTGGCAATGGCATGTAGGGAAAAAAAACATAAAATGACACTTCCTAATCAGTTAACATAAGTATTTAAAACAATGATGCTGTTGGTACTGGCACAAAAATAGACACATAGATCAATGAAATGGAATAGAGAACCCAGAAATAAACCAACATTCATGTGGTCAATTAATTCATCTACCACAAAGAAGGCAAGAATATCCAATGGGAAAAAGACAGTCTCTTCAACAAATGGTGTTAGGAAAACTGGACAGCTACATGCGAAAGAATGAAACTGGACCACTTTCTAGCACCATCCACAAAAATAAACTCAAAATGGATTAAATACCTAACTATGAAATCTGAAACCATAAGAATACTAGAAGAGAATATAGGCAATAATTTCTCTAACATCGGCTGTGGCAGCAGTTTTCTAGATACTTCTCCTAGGGCAAGGGAAACAACAGCAAAAATAGACTACTGGGACTACTTCAAAATAAAAAGCTTTTGCACAGTGAAGGAAGCCATCAACAAAACAAAAAGGCAATCTACTGAATGGGAGAAGATATTTGCAAATGATATATCTGATAAGGGCTTAATATTCAAAATATATAAACAACTTACACAACTCAACACCAAAAAAAAAAAAAACAAGCAATTCAATTAAAAAGTGGATAGAGGAACTTAACAGACATTTTTCCAAACAACACATACAGATGGCCAAGAGACACAAGAAAAGATGCTCAACATCACTAATCATCAGGGAAATGCAAATCTAAAACTGTAAAGAGATATTATATTACACCTGTCAAAATGTCCAGAATCAAAACCACAACAAATAACAAGTGTTAAGGAGGATATGGAGAAAAAGGAACGAACCCTCATGAACCAATTCCTCATTGGTGGAAATGTAAGTTGGTACAGCCTCTGTGCAAAATAGTATGGAGGCTCCTCAAAAAATTAAAAATAGAGCTACCCTATGATCCAGTAATTCCACTACAGAGTACCTAAAAAAAAAAACACACACACACACAGAAAACAGCATTTTGAAAAGATATATGCACCTCATGTTTACTGCAGCTTTATTTACAACAGCCAAGATATGGAAGCAATCCAAAAGTCCATCCATAAATGAATGGATAAAAGTGTGTGTGTGTGTACATACACACGTATACATACAACAGAATATGATGCAGCCATAAAAAAAGGATGAGATCTTGCCATTTGTGACAATGTGGATAGACCTAGAAAACATTATGCTAAGTGAAATAAGTCAGGATGAGAAAGACGAATACCTTATGATTTCGCTCATGTGAAATCTAAAAAACAAAACAAATGAATAAACAAACAAAAAGAATCAAACCTATAAATACAGAGAACTGATGGTTGTCAGAGGGGAGAGGGTTAGGAGGATGGTTAAAATGGGTAAAGAGGAATAGGAGGTACAAGTTTCCAGTTATGGAATGAACAAGTTATGGAAATAAAAGACACAGCCCAGGGAATATAGCCAATGATACTGTAAAAGTGTTGTTGGCTACACTCTAGAACTAATGTAACATTGTATGTCAACTATATTCAAATAAAAAAATTAAATAAATAAAACAATGATATTATTAAGGGTATTAGAATCCAAATTTATAAGGATTAGCACAAAAGTGTGGTGAGAATCACCAGCACTGCACCCATTTCCCCTAACAGAAATAATCCCTTAATAAAGATAATATACGGGCACCTGACTAGCTCAGTTGGTAGAGCATGCAACTTTTGATCTCAGGGTTATGAGTTCAAGCCCCAGACTGGGAATAGAGTTTACATAAAAATAATTTTTTAAAAAAACATTTAAAAAAATAATATAAGCTTTCATCCTTCATTAAGCTTACAGCATTTAACTTATTTTACCTTAACTTTTGCTTTGGAGCATGAATAATATTTTGCCAAAATAACAAAGCTTTGTCAGTTGGATTTATGAATTACTTTTTATCAAATGAGCTGAAAAAAGCCCCATATAGAGAATCCTTTACAATCATCCAAAATTCATTGAAATATTAACATTTTTCAAAAAGAATCAGATGAAAGGCAAATGCAATTTAAGATGATTATGGAAAAATAATGAGAAACAAAGCAAAATAACATAATCACGTTTCCTGTTTAGGTTTAAAAGAAAAACTTTTTCTGACTGTATAAGGGAAAAGTGAAGAACCAATTCCCACTTGGGCTTGTTCTTGTTTTGTTTCAGAACCTTTCCCTGAAGTCAGATATTCCTATTCTCTAAGTGGCTTTCTCTACTTGACGCAATATACTTTTAGCTTCTAACACAAATGATATATATGAAAACTAACTTCCTGTTTAAATAAAGTCATTTCTAAGCAAATATGTAAAAAACAACCATGTCTACCTTTTCCATTTGTAGTTTGCTAACATGTTTAGGATAAGGGATTAGTTTAACTTTCTGTGATTTTCCTAAGATTTAAAGATAGAAAAAAGAACATATGGAAGTGTGGAGACCTTGCCTTCCCAGCTGTTTTCTGAGCACCAAACATGTATCACTCAAGTGAAATGCAGCAAGCCTCCCACACTGATCTATTCAGCTTTACATAAAATTAGAGCAAACCTGATCAAATGGATAAAAGTTTCAAAGTTCATCAGGACAGATATTTCCACATATAAGCATTTGAATTAATTATGAAGTAACAATAAACACCTTGAAATCATAAGCATAACTACTCAGCTTTCTTTCCATCATCTTTCTGCCCCTTTTTAACTTCCCTTGGTCTGATTTCTTAACCGTGAAACATGCAATAGTTAGGCATCTAGTTTTTAAAACCCAAGAGTTCTTTAAATTCCTTGCCTTAAAAATATTAAAAGGCAAAGAAGTATTAAATACAAAGTAATTGTACATTGAACAAATCAATCACTCTGCACTCATTTCATGTTGATCTCTGTCATACTTGAACGCAGGTAAATACACATCTTCCCACACAATGTCGGCAATAATTCTGTAAATCAAGATTTTTATTTTGGGCCCTACCCACCTTACTTTGTGAATGGTGGTAAGCTGGAGCTCAACAGTATACATAATCTTCCATTTCAGAATAAAAACAATCAACATCTTTTAGGGAAATGATTACCATTACCCCTCTATTCCCTTTGCTACTGACTCCTCCTCTTTCAGAGTTCTACCTATAGTACGTACACAAATACTGCTTCCCAATGAGCCAATCCAAAGCAGATGACAAAGTTATTTTCTCTCAAAGCACACCTTTTCCTCCTAATACTTAACACAATCTGTGTGTGTGTGTGTGTGTGTGTGTGTATTTGTTTATTTGCTCAATGTCTGTCTCCCATACCATACCCTATGCTTTACAAGGACAAACTCCGAGAGTGTCTCATCTTTCACTACACGATCTGCAACTAACACAGAGACATGTATGGCACTAAAAAAAAGAATTTGTTGAATGAATGAGTGACATGAGTGCAGTTCCTTTAGCAAGATGACAAATAAACCTCAATGACTAGCATTCAAATAATCAGCATCTTTAAAAAAAAAAAGGTTGGTGGAAGACAGGAAAACTTCTGAAAACTCAAAATTAAATTCAAAGTTTCAAAACCTGCCAAAGCACAGAGTGAAAAAAGTTTTAAAACCTACTTTAATATGTTTTACTTAAGATCGTTAATTGCAGCCACTCAGACTCAAAAAGCTTCCTCAGAATTCCATCACCAACTAAATAGATGGTTTGGGATGTGAGGCATCATCCAGGAGTATAACATTTGTACCCACAGAAAAATGAGAGGGGGAAGAGACAGGGCAGACAATTTAGGGATCAAAGGTACCACCATCTGACCACATCTCCTCTTGGGCACTGATGACAAAGGACACACTCTATCCTTGGCTCTCTGAGCAAAGCCTCATCCAAAACCTCAGCCTCTGTAAGACGCAGTTTCAGAGATAGTCTCCCACCCATTTAATTTTCACAACTACCAGGTTAACTGTTAGATGTGTTCAGCCATTTTAACTCAATATTCTTAGATTATTAAATCTAATAATCTATGGAGGACAAATCCCAGCTGACAGTGAAATGGAAAGAGAAGCCACATGGTGTAGCAGCTAAGGAAACAACCATTTTGCAGTTGGAGAGAGCTACTTGGCAATCCTACGATTAACCCTCTCCTTCTGCTGTCATTCATTCATCCAGCCAGCCATCAAATCTGTGGGGATTTACTCTGTGGACACCATCCTCCAGCCATATTGCTTCCTATCTCTAGACTCTTGCCCCCAGGCCTTCTCAGATGCGATTTTCCCTGCTTGGAATGCTCCCTGTCTGCTCTGGACAGGGCCGGCTCCTTAACCTTGAAACCTCAGCCTGAAAGCATTCCCTCCAAGTAGCCATCCTTACTACCATACAGATCCTACAGATCCCCTTGGTCTCTTGCTCCATTTCTTCACTTAATGACACTTAACAGACTTTGTATTTATGTATTTGTTTTGCCTCACCCATCTCCCATGCTAGATATTGAGATACCTCAGTGGAGAAACCAGTTCTATTTTGTTTATCAATATAAAACCAGCGACTGCCACAGTTCCTAGCAATAAAATGTGCTTAATAAATTTTTAATGAACAAAGGAATATATTTTTCACTGAAAAAATGCTTACTCAAATTTGCATTATTTATATAGAGAGAAGAGAAACACCACTAAAACATTTTACCCTCCATTTCATTTCATTTTTTGCTTTTTTCAAATACTAAAGACCAGATTTTTTTAATATGACAAAATAAAGGCTTTCTAAAATACCTTGTAATCACAGAAAAATTAGAGCCTACAAAAAGCTTGGAAAATTCATCACTAATACCCATATAATTTAAAAATACATTTTATGTTTAAGCA